CTGGGGATTCGAACCCACCACCTTAGGTGTATGTGGCTGGCGCCTTAGCCAGTTGAGCTACAGGCGCCGAGCCACCCTAGAATTTTTTTTTAAGTGAACATAATAATCTCAAGATTTTATTGTCTTCATGATAAAACAAAAGATGATTAGAACTGTATCACTTGACCCTTTCTCTTCATATCTCCTCCCAGTTCAAAATGCTTGCATCTCTTAATAGCTAGCATTCTCTTAGATCTTCGGTTGGGCACCACACACTCAAGCCTCAGCACAATCTTCTTTGTAGGTTTAGCCTTTTTCTGGAAAACTGGCTTAGTCTGCCCACCATAGCCACTCTGCTTCCTGTCATAACGCCGCTTTCCCTGGGCGTAGAGAGAGTCCTTGTGGGGCTGGTGCTTGCCACACTTCTTACAGAAAGTCCTGCGGGTTTTAGGAACGTTCACCATGTTTGCATGAGCGCTACTGGCAACCTACCCTAAAAATTTCTAATCAGGTTTTGCAGCTGAGGTCTGTCAGCCTCCTCTGCGTTGGGTAGTTCCTCTACATCTGTAGGTGACCCAAATTTATACTAACTAGGCTCCATCACACTTTATTGCATTGCTTGCTCATCTGGATCCTAAAAGAAAGGACCTAAATCTTGTCTCCTCGATACCTAGCATACATCTGTTAAATGACTGGTTGCATTAGTTTCCTTCATTGTATATATTTTAAGAAGATTCTGTTCAGGTTCCTGACGTGAACCAATTGGAAGTTTCTAATCTTGCTGGTGAGAAAGCAAAACTATGTTTTGACTCAAGAGAGGGCTCCTGACCAAGGTCACTCTTAAAGGTGCTTCACGACGCTACCACTTTTTTAATCCTCACTCCTGTGGCTGTCACCCAGTCCAAAGTCCTAAGGAGAGAGCCCAAGGACAGTCCACGTGTTTCCCGACAGGAACTCGAGCCCCTTTTGTAAACGTAGTTCCGCCAAGTACTCTCTCCAACGTCTTCCTACAATCCAATTAGGTTTTGACGCTCGCAGTATCGCGTTGTCCAATAAAAAAAGGAGTTTTAGATGAGCATCAGTTTTGACCAATAGTTGAGAAGATGGGAGTTTATTAACCTATAGAAGCACCATGGAGAATGATAAACAGCAATGTTACCCAATGGACGTGCCTACAATAGAGTATAACTCGCCCCAACCGCTGGGGAGTTGGCGGCGGGGATCGCTGCACAATTCAGTCTCCACCCGGGCTCCGCCATGTTGAGTCTTGCAGGTCGTGTGGTGGCTTCCACGGCCTCCGGGGCCTTGCGGGGACTCAGCCCTTCAGCGTCGCTACCCCAAGCTCAGCTCTTATTGCGGGCAGCCCCCGCAGTGGTCCAGCCTGGTAAGTGCTTTCGCCTAGGGTCTGAGTTCTTTGCCACCCTGTGTGACCTTGAGCTGGGGGCCGATTGTAGTTCGGGCCTGAAGGATCCTTGGTGCTAGGAGGATGTCAGGAGCAGCGTCGCTGTGCTGTAACCGCGGGATAACAAAAACGGGTTGCCCAGAGGAGCTTTCTTTGACCTAATTCTGTCCCATTTTGGATAAAAAAGGCTCTGATAGACGGAGAAGGTGGGGGCAGGTGCATTGACCTTTTCATGGAATTGGGGTACGAGCTCTTGAATAATCGGGTTTTGTGCGCGAGGACGGTAAGGCTATTGAGGCATTTTTTTTTTTTTTTTTTTTTGAGACAGAGCCTCAAGCTGTTCCCCTGGGCAGAGTGCCGTGGCATCACAGCTCACAGCAACCTCCAACTCCTGGGCTCAAGCGAGTCTCCTGCCTCCGCCTCCCAAGTAGCTGGGACCACAGGCGCCCGCCACAACGCCCGGCTATTTTTTGGTTGCAGCCGTCATTGTTGTTTGGCGGGTCCAGGCTGGGGATTCGAACCCGCCACCTTAGGTGTACGTGGCTGGCGCCCTAGCCGGTTGAGCCATAGGCGCCGAGCCGAGGCATTTTCTTGATTGCGGTGGGACCCTCGGTCTTGGACACGCCTTCCGTATGAGCGGAAAGAGGCCTGGCCTAGGCTGAATTTACCTCTCCTAGTTTGTTAAGTCCTGGTTACCTTTGTGTTGTGCTGACTCCATCAATTTTCGATACCTTCTTTTCTGTTAGCCCGAGACTATGCGGCGCAAACCTCTCCCTCGCCGAAGGCAGGCGCCGCCACTGGGCGCATTGTGGCAGTCATTGGTGCAGTGGTGGATGTCCAGTTTGATGAAGGGCTACCACCCATCCTAAATGCGCTGGAAGTGCAAGGCAGGGAGACGAGACTGGTTTTGGAGGTGGCCCAGCATTTAGGTAAGTAGAATTTGTTATGAATGCTAAAGACCATGTTTTGTCCAAAACCAGGCTGTCTCCATTCTGTGATGATTTTTTCAAAATGACTTTCGTTCTTCTGAGTTTGCTGAAGCCACATTTAGGTGCTGAGAAGGAGTCGTGGTTGACTTAAGTATTTCATGCCAGCTACACTTCATTAAATATAATGGTTTGTCCTTATGTGTGACCCTACTATGCCTATACCTAACAGGTGAGAGCACAGTAAGGACCATTGCTATGGATGGTACAGAAGGCTTGGTTAGAGGGCAGAAAGTCCTGGATTCTGGTGCACCAATCAAAATTCCTGTTGGTCCCGAGACTTTGGGCAGAATCATGAACGTCATTGGGGAACCAATTGATGAGAGAGGTCCCATCAAAACCAAACAGTAAGTCCCTCTTGCTGCATCTGTGCACAAAGGAACTTCTGTTTCTTATAGATTTATACATTACAGTGACATCTATAAGGAATTTTCCTGTGGAGACTGCTTAAAATGCTGATGTGTCCAATTATTAAAATTACACAATGCAGTTTCTCCTGAAGAAATTAAGGATGCAGATGTTCTGACAAAAATCTACCGCTTGTGACTACAGTTAAGTATTTAAGACTTAGGCTTATAGTTTAGTTTGAGGAGTCTATGAAACTTGCAGGTCTTT